GATATGGTTATATATGTATGACGTTGGTATTTTGGGGGAACTTACTAAGCTTTGGGCTTACAGTTGTTGATTTTGTTTCAGGTACTTCTGACGATCGCGGGAAGGCGAAGGCGTGATCGTACACCTCCTATGATTTTTATGATTTGGTTCTGGGAAACTCTGACATTGATATTTTGAAAACAAGTTTTGTAATAATCAATTGGTTTTGGAAATGTTTAAAAGTTTAAATTTGACATGATTTTTATGAGCGTTACACTCATGTTCAGATTCGGCTGATCCATTAGATACCTCAAGCTCTTGTGATCCGTGTAAATGGTACAACGAACCCCATAGAGTTAATGTCGCCAAATCTTGAGGGCGAAAACCACAACCCCCAACTCCAAATCATGTGTCGGATAATTCGCCTCATGAGGCTTCAACTGCCTCGAAGCGTAAGCTATCACACTACCCCGCTGCATCAATACTGCCCCAGACTGGAGATCGAATCATCACAATAAACCACAAAGTCATCAACACCCTCAGGCAGGGTCATAATCGACGCCTCACACAACCGCTGTCGAAGAGTCTAAAAAACTGCCTGCTGCTCAGGTCCCCCAACGAAATGTCACAAACTTCTTGGTTAGTCGGGTCAATGCAACAGCGATCTTGGAGAAATCTTGGATGAATCTTTGATAATAACTAACCAGACTACGGGTGTTCACGGTCCGGTTTTTTTGGTTTTTAGGTCAAACCGAAGCCACATCGTTAGTTACGGTTTTTGTCAAGCGAAAACCGAAACCGAACCATTCAAAAATTAAAACCGAACAAAACCAAAACGTTCCTAACGATTTGGCTCCGGTTTGGGCTTTTTAGGCCCATATTAGTCGAGTCTATTAGATTGTTAAAAAAACTGCAATATTGTTAAAACAATAAACTGGACCGTGAACACCCCTATATTTCACCAGTCTTTTATTTCTAACTAGTGTTATACTCGTCCGATGGACGGTTGACCGGTGTAAGAAACAATATATATTGATTTTACTTTGTTCTACATCATTATTATATAATTTGTTAACATGCATTATACAATGACAAATCTACACAAATAAAGAACATATGAATGAAAAAAACAATAAAAGACAATACAATAAAAATCATAGCAGTCGATTAACATACAATTAAATGAAATTAAGTTAAAAACGAAAAAATTGAAATTTATTGTTTAATTACTTTAAAGTCAGTTAGGAATAACATTATCATAGACTCCTCACACAATTGTGGAAGCAGACGTGTCTTTGGTGTTATTGAGGATCCGATACACGATTTTTCAAAATAATCAACTTCAATTTGAGCAGAAGCCGCCTAATTGTATAACCCACAAATGGTTTCTAAAACGTAATCTAGACATTGATAATCTAAAAATGGATGAAAGTAGGATGCTAATCTTTAAGAAATTCAAATAAAAGACATTGTACTTTATATGATAACATAAAACTTCTAAATGTTCCTTTATGTGTTATATTTCCTAGGAAATAAAAAAAATGGTCAATCTGCTTCAAAATATGTTAAATGCAATAATATTACAAATTAATAGAAATCAATATTTACTCTGTTCGAAAAAGTTAACTTTGCTAACTCTTAAGTGGCCTTATATAATTGTGTGTAACTTTTACAAAATAATAACATGAATGGCAATTTATATGATTCCTCATGTTTTGTCTCCCTTGAACCATTGAACCATTTACAAAACATTCGATTATAGTTATATGGAAACTCAAATGAATATACATATTGTTTAATATATATGTAAAGTGAATTATATAAGTCTATTAAATAATAAGAACACAAAATACAAATTCAAAACATAAACGGTGTAATATCAATTTTAATGTAAATTAGGAAAAGGCCCGTGCGTTTGCACGGGTAAAAGTTTAGTGGCAAAAATATAAATAAGAAAAAATAAAGTGATAAAGAGGAAAAGTTTGTTGAAACTTTAGTGGCAAAACTAGTAAAAAACTAAAAATAAAGTACCAAAACTATAAAGAGGAAAAGTTTGTTGAAACTTTAGTGGCAAAATTATAAAAAAGTAAAAATAAAATGGTAAAATTATAAAAGAATAAAGAAAAAAGATTTTAAAGAAGTAAAAGTGAATGTTTAGTGACAAAAATATGAAGAAGTAAAAATAAAGGGACAAAATTATAAAAATGAAAAGTTTGTTAAAACTTTAGTGACAAAATTAATAAAAAGTAAAAATATAGTGTTAAAATTATAAACACGATCCAGAAAATAGAAAGAGAAACAATTTTATCTTTTTTTAAAAGAAATTGAGGCGGTGGACATCGCAGTTGAAAATCAAGACCAAAATTATTACCCTTCCAAATTTACCGTGGCCAAAATTAAAGTATGTAAAAATTGTTGGCCAAAGTTTGAAGCAAAGAAAGTATACTGTTCCAAAAGTCCATGAGCTTTAATATATATATATATATATATATATATATATATATATATATATGGGAAAAGTGAATATTACAGCTCACCTAAACTTAGGTATTTAAACCTCATGAAAATAAGTTGTCATAAACTTAGGTATTAAACCTCATGAAAATAAGTTGTTTTACTATATAAAGATTGCGATTAGGGGATTCACAATTAATAATTGAAGATGTAGATTCATGATGTACATAATAGTTTTGATAAGGAAGCAAGAACATTGATTATCTTCGACCTTCGTGAAATAATAAACGATAATGGAAGAATGAAAACAAGGATGGTAAAACGATAATGGAGGGAAGAAATGTTATTGGGGACGATATATTTACCAAATGAAAACCAAATCGACTTTAATTACTAAGTTAAAACGAAATATTTTAGAGGTTTAGTACCTAAACTTAGGTGGGGCTGTAATGTATATTCCCTATCCCCTATATATATATATATATATATATATATATATATATATATATATATATATATATATATATATATATATATATATATATAATGGAAGGACAGGAACATATATCTTCAAATATTTTTACCAACGCAAATTAAAATTTGAGAAGTTAAAAATCACTAAGTAATTAGAATAACAATATAACTTAAAATTCCTTCAAACTAATTACCCTTCAAACTGATTACCAATCCCAAAACAGATCTAAATCGATTTGGTGAACGGTAAACTAATGTAAATTTAGATTTTTTTTTTCTTGTTTAAAATAATATATTATATAAATGATAAAAAAGTAATTTAATAAAGAGTTTTGGTTTTATTTTTTATCAATACATAAATACGTATTTTCTAACTCAAAACCTATTATTTTATCATTAAAAAAGATTTTGCATACTATTTCTTCAACAATGATTAAAAACACTATACCAAGTGAAAAGTCTATAATTGATAAGGAAAACTTAATCGGTAGCATGCTCTAGGCTCGAGGATGACATGGGCTTCTTGTTTTAGGACCGTACATCTCATAGCTCAGTGGGTGGTTTTAAATGTTGATGTTGGCCATCAAATAAGCTTAAATGCCGCCTAACTCTTATGATTTAAGCTTGCACCTACATACAAAGGGTTAATGGGTCATTTTACCCTTCACCATGTATGCACATCCTAATCAGTAAGCGATCAACATACACCATTAAGAGATTTAAAATCTGAATCTAAATCGACTTCCCCATGTATGCACACGAAACAATGAACTTTTATGGTTTATCCAGCAGCAACAAAAGAGCATCCAGTGAAACTTTTGTGGTAGTTAATAGGCTGATTTTGAATTTAAATATTCACATGTTGATTTTAGTTAGTTTACACTATGTGTAAAAAAAAAAAGAATTGATGAAAGTCAAGGGAAAATATGTCTAAATATAAGATAATTTATGATGGAGCCCAAGTAGAATAAGAATTGCACCCAAGGGCAAATTTGACATTATGGTAAAAACTTTGAGAAAACCACAGCAACAACTGATTACCATATTTATGTAGCCTATGAACATTGTGAGAGATCCCTATTCACTATCTTCTTTAAAATGACCAATATACCCCTCCCCTCCTCCCCTTTGACAACCAACTCTTCTGCCACAACCACATATAGATACACTCAAGTTCATATACACACACATACACCCACATATACATGCATCACATACGACACAAACACACACAATCGCGCGTGTGTGTGTATATACATTATTTATTGCACTATAGCAAGGTATCTCAAAGCATAATGTGTAAATAAGAAAAAAATGATTAGAAAGAAACTTAGAAATAAAAATGATAGTAAGATGCTATATTAGAAAAAACAATTGAAAGTATAAAGAAATTTATATATACAAATGATAACAATCTGCTTTCATTTATTTTTAAAATATACGAACTTACTTTCATCGTTATTTTTTTAAACTTTTTTAATTTTATCTTAATTTTTGTCTTATTAAACCATTGTACTTTAAAAGTACAATGTCATGACTTTATTTTATTTTCTTGATTTTACTGTATTTTCTATTTGTGTAATTTTATTAAACCATCAGTTTATTGTGGTAGGGATAAACTAAATAAACTGATTTTAATAAGCATCTCCCCCTTGCTTATTGCTTATAAGCTAATAAGCTATAATCTAATTTATCCAAACACCCCCTAAATTTTTTTGAGGGGTATCCCGGGATACATACTAGATCCGCCATTGAATTACTCTTACCACCTGATATAGTTAGAATTCTTAAACTGTAAATTTATATTATTTTACTAATTATGTAATTCATTTAGACCAAATATTGTATATCTGTTTCTTTACTAGTTTACTTATCTTTCCCAAATGCCCAATTAATAAATCGTACCAATTGCAATTGAAAGTGAGATTCAAACTAGATTTTGATGGTGATGTGGGTCAAATGGTTCAAGTGGTATTATTAATACAATGCACAATATGAAAGTGATATTCAAACTTGGATTTTCCAAATTAGACAGAAGCAACAACTTTGGTATATGTAATGATTACACAAACAACGTAGCAAATTAACACATAGTACATAATTTTGCATACATAGGAACACACGGATAAAGAAATCAACCCATAACAAACGTAGAATATATTTCTACAAACAGAACTTTGAAAACGCTACTTAATTAGACTCTTTTAGAATCCAAAGCCATGAGAGTGCTAAGATTCATTGGCTCCACATACTTTATACCATTAAATATTTCATCCACAATGATTCGATTTGCCCTCTCAGACGGGTGGTAGCCATCCCAAAACACATATGCATCCCTATTTTTGCACAACCTTGACAACGGCGTGCAAAGTCCTAGCCCATTATACGGGCCTTGTCCACAACAAGCATCTTTTGACGTCTCAAATCCTACATAATATATTATAAAGTCAAAATATATAATATCCAATGAAAACAATTACAATTACTTAATAAAAGTAATAGAAATAGGAAATACTCAAATACCAAATGCTTTGGGATCGTTGATGAAATTCAAGTGCATATAGTTCGTGTTAGCAGTCACAAAGATGTCACCACCGAGCTTTTTGTTGAGTGCAGTGACCATGTCAACAAGTTGCGGGTTAAATAGGTTTGCAGCTTGTTGAAGTTCGTCTGCGCATTCTCCTTGCTTACTATGTAGCGCCAGGATAGCAGGCGCACACCCTAGTGGCCCTGTTCCTGTTACCAATACTTTTCGAGCTCCTAATTCGTAAAGTCTCTACAGATTAATTAAAACGTCAAATATTAGACTTTGGTTGTAAATGTAGAGTCTAATTAAGATGGTTATTAATTACCATTAAGATCTTGTCGTATTCAGAGATGAGGAATGGGACATAGTCGGGGAGTTTATACTGAATGGATCTAATCGAGTTAGGAATCAAAAAGTAGTTGTTCACGAAATCATTGCCACCACAAGTGATCAAAACCAATGCTTCACTTACTAACTTTTTGGTTTTCTCCGCCCCGATTAAATCAGCCACACGTTTTTGGTATGTCTCAAAGTCTGACAATTGAGATGGCATCCGAATAATATTTACCTGCAAACATATAGAAGGAATAATATCTGTAAATGATGTTGACTCTTATTTTTTAAGTATAATATCTTTAGATCGGCTAGTTTACTTTAAATACGTGTAAAAAAATATATTAGAAAAGTTAAGTCACATGAAACACCGACATAAAATAAATAAATCATCATATAATTAATAAATATCCATGTATATGTTACACAAATAAACACATACGATTTATATAATAAATATCCACTTACAAATTGTACTCCGGTATCATTGAGGATCCCAATCCCAGCAGAGGCAAAATTAGCTCCATTTAGCAACTTTTCATCCTTCAGCTCCGGAGACAAATATGGCAATAATGGATCCGCACCAATGCGTTGCCCTGAAATCATAACATACATATGTTGTAATAATCAAAATTTAGTTCATAGATCAAGTTGTTTTTCATTACACAATATATAAAAAAGAAGATATGATTATGAATTAAGAGATCAACCAATAATATCTGGAATATTGAGGCCATTAGAAAAACGGCCTGTGGGACGATGTGTGGGATAATCAATCCCATAAGGAGGTGAATCCGCCCGTGCAGTGGTAGCCAAGAAGTTGTTGTTTCCATTGTCGACCAATGAGTCTCCAAATACAAAGAAAACCCGACGAGTGTTTTCAGTCTGTTGATTAGTGTTGGATTTGCTTTCGGTCCCTAAAACGAGACCAAAAGTAAGAAAAATGAAAATACTAACAAGTGGTAAGGAAGACATCATTGTTGTGTTGTATTCTTGAAATGGAAGGGGTTCATATATATCATGTCAAGGGACCAAACCCCATAAAATATACACTTGTTTATGTAGTGTAGTGTTGACTCCCATGGGTAAAGGAAGTTTCAACAGGGTGAGGTCACTTACTATATATAGCAATACAATTTCAATATGAAATATCAACATTCCTGATTTAGTAAAGATTTAAGGCTTGTCGTAGAGGTAACAGAGTACGTCCAATAAATGAAACATATATGAAGCAAGTGGTAATGAACAACTACTAGTATTATTTAATTGTTTTATGTGCTTAATAGTAGTAAATAATCATTTTATCTATTATCAATGGTTGTAACCAAACTCAACTAATGAATGAACCCGAAAATATCAAAATTTGAGTATCATTGTGGATTTTTAATTATTAAATATAATTTTTTTGGCCTTCCATTTACCTAATAGTGACGGATTAGGTTTGTGGATCAAAATAATCATCATCATAAACAAACATGAAGGATATGCACATGCATATGACTTGGTGAGTCCATGCTATCTAATTCCTAACTCTAATAAGTGTAAATGTGACTTTTAGTAGTTCGAGAAACATAACTTTTAGTAGTACACGAAATTTATTTAATATATACATCGGATTTCAAAAAAGAATGTGTTATGTCTAGGTGACTATTTAACACTTGTAATAAAATCCACCGGCAAAGAAAGTAATGATGCTTCGTTCATTTCAACCAACTTTTTGGGTCGTATGTCAAATGCAATGTGATCCTTACAAACACGAAAACCATCTTGACAGGATTTAGACAGCTGTGTACTGAATTCATAACAATACAATTCACACTAGTGTATTTTTCATCGTATATAAATTGCACTTTAGCATTAACTATAGTAGATAGGAATTTGGGCAAACAAAGAAAATCACAATAATAATAATCCATTCAAATTCAAAGAACTTATTATATAAATAGGAACCCGAATACATTGAATCGATCGTATTGCATACATAAAATACTTGGAAAAAAACTTTTGGTTCGATTGATATAATTAAGATCACATGTTCGAGTCAATGGACATGATGACACTAAGGTTCATTGGTTTCATGTAGTCGTGTGTCCCATTCATAATTTGTTGCACAATCAATCTACTTGCTCGTTCAGTCGGATGGTAAGCGTCCCAAAATACGTACTCATCTCTATTGGGGCACAAGTTTGCCAAAGGTGAGCATGTAAATAGCCCGTTAAATGGTCCAATCCCACAACAAGCTGTCTTTGATGTAACAAAACCTACATAATCATCACAAATACAAGATTAATTATTAAAAAAAATTAAAACTAGGTGTTTATTTTAAGTGATTGTAACGATTATACCATATGCTTGCGGATCCGAAATCATATCATGGTGCATGAGTTGGGTGTTGGCAGCGATGAAAACATTGCCATGATACTCAGTATTGAGGTCGTTGATCATTTCGGTGAGTTGTGGCTCGAACAAGGCCGATGCGGCTTGTAGATCCATGGCACAATCACCGGTTACACTGTGTTGGGCCCGTTCTGCTGGGGCACACCCAAGCGGTCCTGAACCCATTACAATCATCCTCCTTGCTCCCAATCCGTATAGTTTCTGTATCATAGCGAATTTTACTCTTTTTTTTAATGAACAAACGGCTAATATCGTAATTGCATCATAAATCAAGGACCGGGAAAGTCTTCATGGCATCACTTTTTATCAACAAAAACCGTCATAAAATAGTCTCGTTTATGGACTCAGCTTGTGTCATAAACATGTAAGATTGTATTCGATCCGAACTACAATATGAAATATTCTAAAATTTTAATATGAAGATTAGAAGAATTTTTGGTACAAACTAGCATCATGTTTATAAGAAAGAAAAAACACTTACCACCAAGATTTTTCGATATTCGGATATGAGATAGCGAACATAATCGGAAAGTGAAGCTTCTTGAGACCTAACGGAGAACGGGTACAAGAAATAGTTGTTTACAAAATCGTTGCCACCCAATGAAACAAGGACCAACGCTTGGTTCACGAGCTCTTTGGCTCGTTTTTCACCTATTTTGTAACTTAGTCTTTGTTGGTACTCTTTGAAGTACTCGAGTTGTAATGGCATTCTGAGTATGTTTACCTGTATATTTTCATATTTGAATCACACAAACAACCAAAAAGTACAAATATATTCTTACATGTTAGATATAACTTTTATCAAATTTGAAATAGTTTAACATTTATTTGAATTTAAAAACATAAATATAGTGAACAATAAATGTCTTAAAAATCTTTATAAATACAATAACTTTGTTTCTAAATAAATCAAACAAATATTTTATAATTATGTCAAACTTAAAAATTACGAAATAAGTATAATTACATTCTATATTAAGAAATTAAAAACAGAAATGCAATGACTTTGACTTACAAACTGAAATCCAGTATCGTTGAGTATTCCAACTCCAGCCGAAGCAAAGTTTGCACCAACAAGAAGTTTTTCTCCCTTGAGCTCAGGACTCAAATACGGTAAAGTGGGTTCCGACCCGATATATTCACCTGCAATGACAATAAATCTTGATTTAACACATCGACCCGATTAAATATATAAACAGTCATCATGTTTTAATATCAAAAAAGCAAAAGAAAAATAGGGAAAAACCGAACTAATAACATCAGGGATGTTGAGCCCATTAGAGAAGCGTCCTGTAGGCTGATGTGTAGGAGAATCGATGCCATAAGGTGGCTTATTAGCCTTTGCTGTCGTAATCAAATAGTTATTGTTACCATTATCAACTAAAGAGTCACCAAACACAAAAAATGGTCGAACTTGGTTTCCTTTTGGGCTAGCATTAGGAGCTATTGGTGTTGCATGGGTCCCATTGGCTGCAACATGGGCTCCATTGGGTTCAACATGAGTCACATTGGCTACAACATGTGTCTTATTGGGTTCAGCAGTGCTAGATCCTACTGCAAAACACAATCCTAAAGTCAACCAAAGACTAGCCGTTTGATAGTGAACCATTGAGAGATTGGTTTTTTAGTGAGTTTGAAGCAACTACAAAGATGTTTTCAGATTTGAGGGAGAAGATGCGACTGACAATGGGTTTATATAGATGGTTAGTGTGATAATATTACTGTTTTAAGCAAGCAAATGTGAAAATGAATTTGATGAAATTAATGTTGGCATTAAAAGATTCAACCCTGACCAAATATCAATCTTTTGGAAAATGGTATTATCATTCAAGATAGTCAACTAAATAAATTATTATTAAATGAATAATTATATTTCTATTTTTTTTCAAAATGTATATGAGCTGATTCATATGTATTTTTCTAAAACCATTTTTGACTAATGATGGATTCAGTTAACCTTTATTGTAAAGTAATAGAATAATATTAAAGGATGGATTTGGTTTTATTTTGTAATGTTTCTCAAATGGGTAAGTTTTGACCATGTATGATGCGTTAATGACGTTTGACCAAGTTTTGACCATGTATGATGCGTTCATGACGTTTGACCATATATGTATTAGGATTATCGTTGATAACTAGGGTTATACTTCCGGTGTCGGGTATAAAGCTTTATTGAATTATCAAAATAATATATTTTTGTTTTTTTTTTTAAACTGTGGAATTTTATAAAAAACTGCCAAGGCGTTAGAAAAACACTAATTACAAGAAATAAAAGCCAAGTATGGGTTTTGCAACCATGAGACCTACAACAACTTAGCTTTTCTATGCTTATTAGAAATCTAAAAATAGTCATATCTACCACATCATAAAAAATAATAGATTTCCTAAGAATAGCAGTCTAAAAATAGTGAATTACAAAATTTCATAAATACCATAACACAATCATCACCGGTGCATCAAATTTCTTCCATTGGCCTCCTGCAAACCAAATTGAATCCGCCAAGGTAACTAAGGACTAAACCGTGATAAGAGTGGGATATGCACCCCCACCAAATCGCAATACGACCCCATAAGTCCACCAAATCTGAGCATTTTGCAAAAAGATGATTTATCGACTCCACTGAAGCTCAACACATTGAGCACATAATAGACACCACTTCGATACCCTTATACGAAAGACTCTCTCTAGTGGAAATGCTCAATAACCAAATACACCAAAGCAGGATATTCAACCTAATAGGAACTCAATTGTTTCATTGAGTCTCCATCCCCACGGTGACCAACATCCCGCTATCTGAATAAGCTCAACCAAGAGAGATTGAAAACACATACGCCACGTCAAAAAGCCAACCAAGCCTATATGTGCACAACTTCAGGTGCAATCCTCATATCAAAGAAATGAATACATCCCCCTACATCTGCTCGACCCATCCCCTATGAACTATGCCTAAGGGACTCCACCTCCCAACCTAAAGACACTCGACCTTTGACTAACACCACTCTATGAAGATTCAGAGCAAAGATCTTGTGAAACAAAATCGCAAGGGGCATATCCTCACACCAACTATCCTGTCAAAGCATCGTATATGAATCATCATCAACACGAATCGGGAAAAACTCTGAAGGTCGTAAACTTGATTCCTCAGTTGCCTCAAAGAACAAATAATCCCATTCTAGTGACCCAAATACATCCTCAACGAGACCAATAAGGCACAACACCCATAAACTCCATACAAGGCTTTAACAACCCTCACCCAAAGAGAATCGGGCGAATGAAGAATCTCTAGTGCCATCTAAAAGCATAACATGGTTAAAGGATAACATACTCTCAAACCCCAAACCACCATTATCTTTACTCACCGTAACTTTATTTCATACAATCCAATGTATCCTCTTCTCATCAAGATCTGCACCCCAAAATAACTGAACACTCAAGGACTCTAAGGAGCTAAAAACTTCATTCGACACCAAAAACATCGACATTAAATAACTCCCTATAGTACCCAAGATCGACTTCAACATAGTGAGTAGACCTCCTATAGAAAGGCATTTCGCCCTCCAACCCGAAATGTAACACCCGGATCTTGAGGTACGCTATGTTTTTTTTTTGGCATTTTAGGGTT